GGCCCCGGCCCCCGGGCCAGCACCGCCCAGGCCAGCCCCGCACCGCCGGGCCCCAGGCCAGCCCCCTGCCCAGCACCACCGGCCCCGGCCCAGCACCCAGCGGCGCCGGCCCCTCCCTATTTTCCCGGACATGTTCGGCTTTTTGGGATTTCCCCCCGGACGGGGATTTGAGGCCCAAAAAGCCGGACATGTCCGGGAAAATCCGGACGTATGGTAACCCTAGTATTTAAATAGAGTTTTCAATAGATTTTTGATATGTGTGAAAATATCTCAGTGGAAATACATTCCCCATGTTACTGGCAGTACCATGATTGATTTTCTTTTAATTGTTTAATATTGTGAAGTGTATATAGGATTTTATCATCTTACGGTTGTATTGCTGTCTTTTTTCCCTGCATCAAATGCAATAGAATATTTTCTAGTAGTTTTGGAAAAAATTTAATACCAAGTTTAGAGACAGTCAATACAAGAATTTATTTTTAGCTTTCCTGAGTCCTTCCTGGAAAAATAATTCCTCAAGAAAGAATATCATCTTATTTTCCCTGGGCCTTTTTGTGCCTCTCTTCTTCGTTTGAGAAATCTTACCTTGCTGAACAATACTGTAGAGGACAATTTCAATTGATAGTTAAATATTTTTTAAAAAGCCCCTCTGTTTACAGTTGGTAAGTTATTTTTTTAAGCAGAAGGTACCCCGTTTATCGATTATTAAGCAGGTAGAAGCTGCATATCCAAACTTACATTACATTATAGCTTTGGTTCCACTTGGAACACCTAGTAACCCAAGTATGTGGATTTTATATTCGTATTGGTTGGATGACTGTACAGAATATTTTTACAGCTGTTATTACATGAAAAAGCTGCTAAGCTTGACTTTCTTTTTCTTTCTAGGTCAGAAGACTTGTCTCCATTTACATGGTATCTTTCCTTATCTCTACGTGCCATACGATGGTTATGGGAAGCAGTCAGAACACTATCTTCGTCAGGTGGCATTCAGCATTGACCGAGCACTCAATGTGGCTTTAGGCAATCCATCTTCTACTGTTCAACATGTGTTCAAAGTGTCATTAGTATCTGGAATGTAAGTATAACTTACATTATGTTATTGTTAGTTTTATTTATGTAGAAGGGTCAGCATACCTGTTTGGCATTGGGAGGTCCACTGCCTCAGTTTGTCCTTGAACTCACCAGTAACTACACATGCTTATATGCATCTAACAGCATCCTTTCTTGGGGTCTGGTTTATTAAAATAACATAACTGTAGTAAAATAACAATTTAATGTCAACATACAGTAGAACCTCTTAGGCCTGGTCTACACTAACACCCCAATTCAATCTAAGGTACGCAACTTCAGCTATGTGAATAACGTAGCTGAAGTCGACATACCTTAGTTCGAACTTACCGCGGTTCAGACGCGGTCCACACGCGGCAGGCAGGCTCCCCCGTCGACTCCGTGGTACTCCTCTCGTTGAGCTGGAGTACCGCAGTCGATGGCGAGCACTTCCGGGATCGATTTATCGCGTCCAGACCAGACGCGATAAATCGAACCCGGAAGTTCGATTGCCAGCCGTCGAACTACCGCGGTAGTGTAGACCTGGCCTTAGTTACAACACCTGAGGAATGGAAGTTATTTGTAACTCTAAAATGTTCATAACTGAACAAAACGTTATTGTTTCTTTCAAAAATTTACAACTCAACATTGAGTAAATGCAGCTGCTTTCCCTTTATTTTTTTAGTACTTTATGTTTAACACAGTACAGTACTGTATTTGCTGCCTTTAACCATCTTAATTTAAGTGAAACAAGCACAGAAACAGTTTCCTTACCTTGTCAAAAAAATGTAAAACTTTCTCTATTATTTAGTTGTTTGTTTAACACAGTAGTGTACTGTATTTGCTTTTTTTTTTTTTAATCTCTGCTGCTGCCTGATTGCGTACTTTCAGTTCCAAATGAGGTGTGTGGTTGATCAGTCAGTTCGTAACTCTGATGTTCGTAACTCTGAGGTTCTACTGTAAATAAAAGCCTGTATTTTCCAAACTCTACAGTTCCTTCAACCACTTGCTGGTTTCAGTAGTTCCTTACCAAAACTTAGGTCCTGCTATTTGGTGTTTCCTAAAGAAAGCCTCTTCCTCTTAGGTCTCCTGCTTTTTTGTTGAGCCCTGCAAATCTGCAGATATCTGTTTTATATCTGCTGACCATGTTTGTGGATCATGGATGGACTCTGATCCAAATTTTATATCTAGAGCCCTGCAGATCTGGATATCTGCGGAGCATGTTTGCGGATAGCAGATCGGATGCAGATACAAGTTTTGTATCCATGCAGGACTCTGTTTTTTTTTTTGTGTCCTTTATGTCAGATTGCTACAGCCAGGTCTTTCCATCCGGTTCGTATGGAGAGCCCCTTTCCACATCCCTTCTGACGATGGGTCTCTTGCAGGGGCAATACTGCAGGTTTCTCCCCCTCAGACTGCACAGGCTCTCTCTTATAGGAAATATCACTCTATTATCTTGTGATGCTTGGTCACCAGACACTGTAGATGGTCCAAGCCTTGAAACAGGGCCCTAGGACATTCACATATGGCCCAGGACAACAATGTTTGCTTACTTCTTATTTAGTGCACGGTTTTGCTGTTCCAAGAATTGTTAGGATTATTATTACCAGATGTTAACATTTAAGGATTCTCTTATTCACTATTCATTTGACTCGCGTAACCAGGGATTGAAAAATTTACTCATCCATGATGAAGAAGCTGCTTTTCTGGATGAACATACGCGATTATACAAAACAATTTATGCAAAATCTGTTTTCATCTAGAAAAAAGGGTGACATTTTAAAAAGCGTTCAACACTGGCCTAGCCAGCCAGTAGGGTGCACTTTTGGCAGTCCCTAGTTCATAGCAATTATACTTATCAAGATAACCTTCCCAGAGTGAACCATTGCAATGGTTCCTTCTGAAGACTGCAGACAGTGCCTATGTTACTGCTCAGAGCTTACATAGGCTGCAGCAGAACTAAATCTGATCACTGTATTATTGGCTTCCACTGTTGCTGTGAGAAACTTGAGCAGCAGTGAAACTATTAATCTGATCCTTTCCTATCTCTGGTTTCTTGCAAAAGATATGATTAGCAGAAGAAGACAAGCACTGGAGCTATTCACTGGAGAGGAGGAACCAAAATTGAAAACTAAGCAGAGTAATCTAGTGAAGACAACCATTCTGTCTTCGTCCTCCTCCTCCATCCTGCAACACAGCCAGAAAGCTGCAGGGATAGAGTAACAGATCCCATGTCCCTCTCTTTAGCAGCTTGGCAGCTCTTTTGTTGTAACTTCAAGTCAGGTTCTGAATGCAAATGGTAGATGCTTTAGGTGCTGAGAGCTCTGTAATTTTACCTTCTCATATCCAAGCCCTGCAGATGTTCTTGCATGCCTTCCTTGCTGTAGGAAGGAAAATTAAGATAAATATTTACTACCTACATTTCAAAATGTGGAAGAGACAAGCAGGCAGAGTCAGAGTTAAAGGAAGGATAATCTTTGAACACTGACTGTATCTACTGGTTGCCTGTCTGAAACGAAGAAGAATCCAATAGTTCTTTGAGTATGTGTTATTGTGGATCTCACTCTAGGGAGTAGATGCACCTCACGTGCCTGAGACCAGATTTTTTGAATAGCGATGTCCATTGGGGCCATGCATGTATCCTGTGCCTCTTTGTGTTCACATACAAGGACATAAAGGATTGGGCATCCACAACCCACCCTCAGTTCCCTCTTACTACCTGTGGTGAGATGGAACCTAGCTAGTGTCCGACCCACTGGACTTTAGCTCGGACTAAACTTCTCAAGAAACCTTCTTAAAATCTTCTGAGATATTTCAGATTGACTTTCATTCTTTCATTTACTTGTCAAGCCAAAAGTTGCTTGCAGACCCTTCTGTACAAAAACCCTCCCCCAGTACAGAAATTTAAAATAGGGTGGACTCAAAACCCACAGGAAAACCTTGTCTGTCCTGCAGTGGACTGATTCCACTGAAAGATGGGCACAGAAGATATTCTGCTTGGGAGAGTCTGACATCCCAGAAGGATGTGAGGCTGGAATTCCATCTGCAGGAGCAATCTGTGAGAGTTAGTGTTGGATCTAGTATGGGGGCAGGAGCTTAACAAGGAGCTCCGTGTCCTCCCATAAAGAGGGATACAGAAAAAGTTTGGGAGACAAGCTGGTATGTCCAAGTATGACATGGAGACGAGTAGAAAGGAGCAGACTGCTGCACAGCAGGCTCTTCTGGTACTGGAAGTACCCCCAGTGATTTTGACTCCATCACCAACAACACAGACTCAGAGTGCTCTGGAGGAGTGTTAGGTACCAAGATATGCAGCACCATTGACACAGTCCTCAGTACTGATAGTGCTTTACCAGTTGGTGCCACCCATGATTCAGGTGGACTCCTCTTCACCATCCCCAAGACATACCTTTTTGCTGGAATATCTCTACAGACCTCAACCATAGGCACACCAGGACTAGTATTGATCCATCCAACAATTCACCAGTCCTCCATAACCATAGAGAATGCCATAGTGACACTACTGGAGTTATTGAGGCCTACCTTCCCGGGCCTCTAGGATGTGGTCCCCACCATCTCAGAAGAGGAGGAGGTCTCCTCTCTATGGCTTTGCTAGCAAAACCTCAGTTACCAGAATACAAAGAGGAAGGACATTCAGAATTGAATGACTCTTCTCACTGCCCAAAGACGACAACGACGACTCCTCATCCCCAGATGAGGCAATAGCTTTGGCACCAATACTGGCACTGCACAATTTCAAAGACTTCCAGGAGCTCCTGGTGCATATCACAGATACCCTGGAGACTGAGACTTCAATCACCTCTGTGATGTCTCACAAGCTGTTTGATATTTTGTTGGCCATTGGTCCAGCCGGAATTGCTCTTCTCATAAATGAAGGCCTCCTAGATCTGGCAAAAGTCTTACGGCAAATGCCAGCCACTAAAACATGAATTCCCTATAACATGGTACCACCTGGAGGTTCAAGAACTATTACACCCACCCCAGCCTTGGTTCCCTTGAGTGTCCAAGAGAAGTCAAGGCCCACCAAAAACACACCTAAGGACAAAGATCTTTTTGGAAGAAAGTCATACACGCTGGCCTTGCTCCAGTGGAGGGGGGCTAACTCCCAGGCATTGCTGGCCAAATATGATTTGTTAACATGAGACAGAATGACACCATTCCTGGCTTAGCTCTCTCACAAAATCAGAGGGGAGCTGAAAGTGTTATAAAAGAGAGCCAACTTGTGGCCAAGACAGTTCTACAGGCAATAATGGATGTCTTTGACACTGTGGCCAGGTCTGTGATCATTGTGGTGACCATGCATGGCTTCAAGCCTCGAGTATCCCTCCCAACTAACAAGCCACGATTAAGGACTTTACTTTGGAGGGCTTGGAGCTGCTCATTGAACTGACTGATAGCATCCTACATGTACTGAAAGATTCCCAGCCTTACGCTCACTGGGAATTTGCCCTCCCCCACCCTATCAAAAGGTGTACCACCCTCAATCATTGCACCAGCAGAGACCACATACCCCATCTTACCCCAGGCAGATGGAGTCAGGCCAGGAAACACCCACGGTAGAACAAGTGGCATCAACCCTCCTTGGCTTTGGCCCCACATTTTGCCGTGACCCTCCATCAGAAAATTTGATGGAACAGTCAAAGCCTGTACAGGAACCAGTCCCCAGAGAATGACTTTTGGAAGCTGCTTTGCCCCATTCCACCAGGCGTGGTCTGCTGTAACAGCAGGCAGATAGGTGCTGGAGATCATCACCTGTGGCTACCACACATGCACTCCTTTTCACTGTCCCTTTTCAGGGACCCCTCTAACAAGAGTCTGTTACAAACAGAAATGGCTTCTTTGCTTTGTCTAGGAGCCATAGAGGAAGTTCCCCAGGAATATAGGGAAAGAGGCTTCTACTGCAGTGTTTCCTTATTACAAAGACTAAAAGAAGTCTTCATCCTACCCTAGACCTGAGAAGATTCAACACATACATATGCACTGTCTCAAGTTCAGAATGGTAATGCT